GCCAAGTCCAGCTCTTCCATTTTGGGCAAAAATAAGTTTGTTATCATCGCACGGTAGCGCTCGCCATTCACAGTTACGTTCCGGCCATTGTCGTCTTTGAAGAAGTACGGCCCGATGATGCCACAGGCCCATAATCCACACCAAACAGTGATTTTTTCGGGATGCATTGGTAGCTCTTGCAATGCTTCTGGCTGGTCTTCACTCCACATGCGGCAATTTTGCTTGTTAACGTATCCATTCAACCAGAAATGAGCTTCGTCGCTGAACACAATTTTTCGATAAAAATGTGGATCTTCCTCCAACTTTGCCAGCGCCCATTCACCAAATTGGAGACGTTGTGGAAGGTCGTGTGGCTTCAATTCTTGCACCGGCTGTATCTTATAAGGTTTTGCACCCAAATCCTGTCGCAAAATTTTTCACGTAGTGGAGTAACAGAGGCCCAATTGCTGCGAACGGCGGCGAATCGACATTTCACGGTCATCACTAACACTGGCGGATACAGCCGCAATATTTTCTTCAGTCCTCACTCTACATCTGCGTGTTGGTGGTTTAATGTAGAATAATGTAAACTGGGTTCGAAATTTAGTCACAAGCTTCCGAATAGCTCCCTCAGTAGGCCGACCAATTGCCCATAAATTTGAAGCAGTGCTCGATGCACTCTCTTAACCGAGCATGAATTTTGATAGTAAAATTCAATAATTTGCAAGCGTTGTTCGTTCGTAAGTCGATTCATGGTTAAATTATAGACCAAACTGAACAAGTTTGACAATGACACAAGACACGATTCACGCGTCATCTGTCAAAAACAGTGTTGCCAAAAAGATACTAGCAAAAAATCACCCATTACATGTCATACCTGTATACCATCCAAAAAACATATCATGATCTGTGTCATTTATCACAACAAAAGAAAGTTGAAGTTAAAACAGATCCTTGTAGAACACCAGCGTTGATACGGTCATAAGTTTCATTATTGTACTTATTGTACGAGAGAAGATGATGTTTATTTTGCTGCTTTGATCATTTTATGTTGACGTTAATGGAGTCGCACTGGCGGATATTGGGATAAATCGTAAATTTGTTTGTAGCGATGTAGCAAGCTGTACGGTCAGTAAATGTTGCATTTCCATTTGTCCTCCCGTTCGCATACGCGTTTGCCGATATTTATTAATGAAATTGTTAAATATAGGATCAGGCAGCGGCGTAACGCATAGGTTATCCTCGAATCTCAATGAGTTATTGTAAGGCTTCCGAACCATTGCTTCAGTTGGATCGAATTGAGTTTAAGAATAACCCCCTTAAAAATTCATTCTGGATCTTGTGATTTAAGTAAGTTTTGTACTTCCCATGCCTACTGGCGGGGAAGTTTGTAATCGCAAAAATTTTCGAAAATGAGATATGATTATTAGATGTTGTATGACATGTGCATCACGATAAACCGAAACTGATTTCCGTCGGTCTGTCCACTAATCTCACCGCCTCTAACTTGAAAAGTACCGCTCGGATTTCGATGAAATTGTTACATAATGGTACCAGTATGCCAAGAACGCAAAAGCTTTGTAATTTTTGAAGATCGGTCCAGTGGCGGCAGAGGAAAAGGCCAAATACCAAAAAAATCGGTGAAACTCCGTTGTTTGACGTTTCAGTGGAACCTGATCAGGTTAAAAAACTTGGGGTGGGGTTTGTGGGGGTAGAGAGGGTTTATCTCAATTTTTCGTAGTACATTTATATACTCCCAACCTTGGTAACTTCTATTAGACATATTAGACATATTTCACAGATATAGATTACACTGGTCAACACTGGTTTTGCCACACGAACTTTGACAGCTAATTTTGTTTTATCAGTCTACCCTCATTATTACATGACAGCTGTCATATGTCTATTAGCCTCATATTTGTTGTGATACGGTAATACTCATAACTTGTGTTGGAGTGTTATCACCAATGTTTTGGTTTTTCTGTCGCCCATCAAGACAAATCCTGGGCCCCTCATGTCTGTTGCATAACGTGTGTGAAAAATTTAACTGACTAGAAGAAAGGTGCACGATCTATGCCGTTTGCTGTACCCATGATATGGACTGAACAGCGAGATCACGTTTCAGATTGCTATTTTTGTCTCACAGACATAAAAGGTATAAATTACAAGAAAAAAACCAGTTATTCACCCTAACTTATCTTCGGCTATAAGACCAGTCTCTCATTGTAAAAAATTGCCAGAACTAATACCAGTTGCAACTACGTCTGTTGAGAACAATTCACAACCGTCCACTTCAGGTGAATGTGTTGACGAGGACGATGACTTTGAGTTAAAAGGAATTGTAAACGAGCCACATTTGATAACTCAAGGAGACCTAAATGATTTAGTTCGGGATTTAAATTTGTCAAAAAAGCAGTCGGAACTATTAGGATCACGTCTAAAAGAATGGAATTTGCTACATCATAATACAAAAGTTAGCTATTTTCGAAACCGTGATCAACACTTCAGAACGTATTTTTCTCAGGATGGAGATTTGGTGTTTTGCAATAACATAAATGAGATTATGAAAATGTTGGACATAGATTTTGATCTCTCTCAGTGGCGTTTATTCATTGATTCTTCGAAAGCAAGACTAAAAGCAGTGTTATTGCATAATGGAAATAAGCTTCCGTCTGTACCTCTGGCCCATGCTGCAAATATGAAAGAAACCTATCAATATATGAAACTTTTACTTGAAAAAATAAATTACAGTAAAATCTACTACTTCAAAATCTGCGGTGATCTTAAAGTTGTTGCACTATTACTTGGACTTCAGCTGGGTTATACAAAGTTTTGCTACTTTTTATGTGAATGGGATAGCCGAGACAGAACTAATCACTATATAAAAAAAACATGGCCTACGCGTGCATCGTTAGTTGCTGGGCAAAAAAACGTAAAGTATTTACCCCTTGTACAGCCAAATAATGTGCTTCTACCACCATTGCATATCAAATTAGGATTAATAAAAATTTTTGTGAAGGCAATGGATCGCAATGAGAGTGGATTTTTGTATCTAAAAGAAAAAATCCCTAAAATAAGTGATGCAAAGATAAAAGAGGGTATTTTTGTTGGCCCTCAAATTAGGGAGTTAATAAAAGATTCAAGATTTGAAGAAAAATTAAGCGATTTAGAAACATCTGCATGGAAGGTTTTTAAAAATGTTGTTTCAAATTTTTTGGGTAACCACAAGAGTGACAGCTACAGAGAGTTGGTTAGCGAGCTATTATTGTCATATCAAGCATTGGGTTGCAACATGTCACTTAAGATCCATTTTTTGGACTCGCACCTGGATTTTTTCCTGACAATTTAGGGGCTGTCAGCGACGAGCACGGTGAGAGGTTCCATCAGGACATTTCTAATATGGAAAAGCGGTACCAGGGCAAATAGAGCCCAAATATGTTAGCAGATTACTGCTGGACAATTAAAAGGGACCAACCAGAAGCTAAATATTCAGGAAAATCTTAGATTCTTAAGTCATTTATAAAAAAAAACTTTTGATTTACCAGATCTGTGTTTTTTTTTAATATTTTAAATTATTCAATAGAATAAAATCCTTGTCTAGCAATTTTTTTTAACTGTTTATTTTTTCTTACAATCACCAATTAAAGTAAAAAATATCAAAAAAGTCCGTGTGGCACGACAAAGTTAAAATTTTGTTGACCAGTCTTATCCGTACATTAGCCCTTAAAACTTAAAATATTGCCATGGAGAGTATTCCGTTGTTCTGGTATAGTTTTACGCGTATTTCTGTCGCGCTCTGAGTGCGCTGCGACGTCTGACCTGGCTAACTATCGGGGAGGACCTGTTTAACTGACTGTTTTCCCAAAAGGTTTGGTTGGTGCTGAACATACTCGACTATGAATTAACTGATAATGGCGTTGCGTGCGAAGTGCCGAGTTAACCTACTCGAGTCTTTTCCGAGTGTATGCTTTGACCCACGGAACCAGTTTCAATGCCGCCTTATCGCCATCCAGACGATAATTTAGACACTTGATCCTAGCTTCTATGTGAAAATTATCATGACAGTCTCGAATTTCTCGAAACTGATCATATTTATAGAATACGAAGTATGTAAATTAAGTGATGATACTGGCAACGTAGCGTTTGATCTGGCAACTGTGTAGGCGCCGGGCTTGTAGGGGAGACAGGAGAACATGTGGTCCACCTTCAGGGCAAGTTTGAACTCGCACGAGTCATTTGGTTGTGCGTAGCGATTTTCTTCGTGAAACAGTTTTTTATCATGTTGTGAAAATGAGTGACATCAGACTTGGGCACAGTGCAACAGAAATTCTTGCTAAACTTCAGCAGGCTTACGTAGATGGTGTTTTGTCAAGAGCCCAGGTTTTTTTTTTTGGTGGTTTAAGGCACTTTCAGAAGGGAGAGAGTCAATTGAAGATGAATCACGAAGCAGATGGCCTTCAACTTCAAGAACCGATTAAACTATCGGCATAATCCGTGATTTTATGCGGTTGACAGGCAGAATAATTGGGGAAGAGTTAATTTTGACTCGCAGCGCCGTTCATACGAGTTTTTGGCCAGTAAAAACATTCATGTGCGTCCTGAGCCTCCGTATTCGCCTGACTTGAGTCCTTGAGACTTTTTTCTCTTCCCAAAATTGAAAAAATCACCTCAAGGAAGTCATTTTGGGACAATCGGAAACATTCAAACGGCTGGAACCGATCATCTGAAGGCTATTCCAGTGTTATTCTTGGAGGATCTTTAACGCAAATTTCAAATTCATTTCACTATCTGCGAGTTTGAGGTGACAAGATCTATTATTGGGGAGCACGGATGCTTCAAGCACCTCAGGTCCTCAACATTTTGCATCACTGTTTGTGATTCTGTGAGTTGCTCATAACAGCCGCGTACCCTCATTACAGCACGCTTCACTTTGAACCACGTCACTGGTTTAGGATTATCTTTAGCTGCAAGTTACTTTTAGATGACCGTTTAAAATAAATTATTTAATCAGTAGTTGTTCCGTAGTACTCGCGATCGCCGGCTTTTACCGGAACTTTTTTTTTGTTTTTGTTTTTATTTTCATTTTTCAGTTTTCAAATTTTTTTCGAAATTATAGTGTATACATTTAAGTTTAAGTGTTGATTTGTGTTGTGTTCGAAATAACCGCGGCGAGTGTTTTTAGATTTTTATCTAGGACGAGGTTTAGGAGTATGTTCAGAATCTGTTGACGCTATTATTTTTCCAAAACATAACGTTTCAAGCACAACATATTATAAAGTCGAATTATATAATGAGTATATGATAGAGGTCAAACCTGTCATCTATATTAGTCAGTGTTGTCTCGGAAATAGCAGTTTAGTGACCTGCTTATAAGTTTTTATTTTTAAGACTTCCCAGTTTGTGTGAAGTGGTGGTACTTCGCTTAAGCTTCTGGTTAAGTTGCTCCTAGGCTACTAGAGACTCAATCTAACTAAAAGTTTAATCTGCTCCTAATGCTGAAAAGGAGGAAACATTATACTAAGTGACATATAAATCCGAACACCCAGTTTAAATGGTTTTATTTTAATAAAAGTTGGTGAATGTATTTATCTTACTGTAAATAACAAGTGAAAAAATTTTCAGCCTTATCAGTTAGACATTCCGGTTTTTATACTGCTTTTTTTTTAATTCACTACCGCTCTAAAAATGAATATTTCAGCCGCAGTAAAGAATCAACGTTGGCGGATTTTGGTTCTTGACATCCTTTACCATCGGTTACGATGCCTGGAGTACGGAGACCTGTACGATTTCGTCAACTTAGTAAGTTTGATAGGGGCCGTATAGTGGGACTTCGGGAAGCTGGACTTTCTTTTCGGGCAATTGCAGTTAGAGAGCAAAGAAGTGTAGACACTGTGGTTAGGTGTTGTCAGGCATGGCTTCGAGAAGGCAGTACGCAAAGAGCAAGGAGCACTGGACGCCGCCGTAGAACAACAGACCGTGAAGATCGCCGCCTAAGATTATTGTCCTTAAGGGACCGTTTCTCCACTACCAGGTCCATTGCAAAAGAATGGTTTGCAGAACACGGAAGACCTATTGGCATGCGAAGTGTTTACCGACGAATGAGAAGTTTTGGCTTGATTTCATACCGGCCACACTGGGTCCTCCCTTTAACTCGAGAACACCGACGTAATCGCCTTGAGTGGTGCAGACAACGGTCACTCTGGGATCAGGAATGGAACAGTATTGTCTTCAGTGACGAGTCTCGATTTTGTTTAGGTATGCACGATGGTCGTGCCAGGGTTAGAAGGCGACGTGGTGAAAGGAGGAACCCACAGTTTTTTGTTGAAAGACATGTTCATCACACTGTTGGAGTTATGGTTTGGGGTGCCATAGCTTATGGTTCCAGGTCACCTTTAATCTTCATCAGAGGTAACATGAACGCGCAGCGTTATATCCAGGAAGTTCTAGAACGCCATCTTTTACCCTATCTTGACACCCTGGCAGATCCAACTTTCCAACAAGATAATGCCCGACCACATGTTGCAAGAGTCACAATAGACTTCTTTCAACATAATGATGTCATATTGTTACCATGGCCACCAAGATCTCCCGACTTATCCCCAATTGAGCACGTCTGGGATATGATGGGTGGTAGGAGATTGCTCAATTTGCAACGTCCTCCTCAGACTCTAGTAGCACTTCGAGAGGAGTTGGTGGTTGCCTGGAATGAGATACCACAGGAGGACATTGACCACCTGATCAGAAGCATGCCTAGGCGCGTTGGAGAATGCGTAGCACCTCAGGGTGCATCCACACATTATTAAAGGTCAAAGGGCTTTAAAGCAGTGCAATCATTTAGAAATTTTTATCATTTACGTATTATGCTTCATTAAGTACTTATACAAAATTTTATTAAAATAAAACTGGGTGTTCGGATTTATATGTCACTTAGTATATTTCACTTCATATGCTATGCATTGTTGATATTTTACGAAAAGTAGACTAATTGTTCTAGTACCTAGGTATATGTACTATTAAAATCGTTATTGACTCGACACAACAAATTAACGATCAATTACATTACCATATTTTTGCATAAATAAATTTCAAACTGGCTACAATCAAGCTGACGCTAGAAAATTATTTTTCAGCCACGGTATCACTTACAAGAAGATTAACATTTCATGAATTATTACCCAGTGGGTAAATTGAAAAAAAAAACTTTCTTGGCTTCGTTACAATTTTCTTCGGTATAATTTATTGCCCTCTTGTAAAGTTTTTAAAAATTAATCTTGGAGCTACCACTTTTGATTTGAATTATTGCTACTATCGTCGTTCGTATGGAATCAGCGAGTTTGTGGATGTTTTAAAAATCTAGTAGCCTCTACGGAACCAGTATTTATGCAAATTGGTATTTCTTTTTTTATTATTTGGTTTGTGCAACTCTTTAAACAGGTGGGTTTTAACAAGGAAAAATTGCCACTTATTTCCCAACCAAGTATTCCAAAGTAAAACTTTGCTCAACTTTAACTGGCTCTACTGGAAAAAAATGTACTACGAGAGTTTGGCAAGTAATCTTAAAAGTTGGCGCATTTAATAAGGATTCCAAAATGGTATAACACTTAGAAGATTACTCGTTAACTTATGCACAATTTTTATTTGAAGAAATTATTTGAAAAAAATCTGATGAAAATATTTCAAAATTTACTAATTAAACAGCGATTATGAAAACGCACAAGGACCCTTAAGGATAACTGTCTGCACAAAAGTGGGCGTCAAAATGCTGCTGATGATGATTTACCTTTACAGAAAATGCTCAAACTGTTTTCCTTCAGCCGCAATACACGCTCGACATCTTCTTAAAAAAGATCGGGTTATTAAACGAGCGAATCCACGGTTATTAACAAACTCAGCTGCTTCCAATAGTCTTTGCCGTAGCTCAGCTACATTTTGAATCGGCTTGAAATACACTTTTTCTTTTACAGTTCCCCAGTAAAAAAAATCTAACGGATTCAAATCTGGTGACCGGGCTGGCCACGGTATTGTACCAGACCGCCCTATCCATCTGCCTGGAAAGTTTTGATCGAGATACTCTCTCACTGAGAGTGCATAGTGCGCTGGCCAGCCATCATGCTGAAACCACATGTCCCTGTAAATACTAAGTGGCACGTCCGCCAATAAATTTTCTAAATGATTTTGTAAAAAACCTAAATGAATCTCAGTAGCCAAAGTCTCTGGGAACTCAAACGGACCGATTATTTTACCATTTAAAATTCCTGTCCAATGGTTTATCTTGAAGCGATATTGAGATTTATCTTCTCTCATCAAGTGTGGGTTTGCTACGTGCCACTCGTGTAAGTTATGCAGGTTCATGTACCCATCTTTCTTAAATGTGGTCTCATCTGACCATAAAATTTTGTCAAAGAACCGTGGATCTTCCCTGTGTCTTTCTAACATTGTGCGATAAAAAGCAACTCGGGGCTCATAATCCCGGGGCAGAAGAGCTTGAACATGCTGTACGTGGTATGGATGGACCACGTTTTTTTGCAAGATTCTATGGGCTGTACTTTTGGGCACACCTGTTTTTAGTTCTATTGCACGCACTGAAGTACTCGGGTCTTCTTCGACAGCTCCTAGCACCACGTCTTCGAAGGAAAGATCTTCCTTCACCGTGTGATTGGTTTGGTAGTTGGCCCTCTGAGAACAGTAAGCGGTGCACATTTGTGAACACTCGATGATCTGGATGACGAGCTGCATTCGGGTACCTCTCACAGTAAAGTCTCGCTGTAGCACTAGCGTTGCATCTGCATTCCCCATAAATGAGGTGCATGTTAGCATATTCTTGTACGGTATACAAGGACATAGCGGCACTGCACTATCACACTATCAAAGATAGTCTAAGGAAAGCAAATGTTGTTTTGAAGAGCAATTAAACAGTCCAAATCCAAATCACAAGCGATCAACAGTCCAGTTCACGAATCCAAAATTAGTAACAGTACGAAATCAACAAGCACGAACATGTAAAGATGCGCAGTAAACGAAGGAGTACTGATCGGTATCAAAGTGTGTAATAGCAAGTAAGTGATGTGCTTCATCCATACCACATACAGCGTGTTTAACCTCTCCTGCCCCGGGATTATGAGCCCCGAGTTGCTTTTTGTCGCACAATGTTAGAAAGACACAGGAAAGATCCACAGTTCTTTGAAAAAATTTTATGGTCGGATGAGACCACATTTAAGAAAGATGGGTACATGAACCTGCATAACTTACACGAGTGGCACGTAGCAAACCCACATTTGATGAGAGAAGATAAATCTCAATATCGCTTCAAGAAAGACCATTGGACAGGAGTTTTAAATGGTAAAATAATCGGTCCGTTTGAGATCCCAGGGACTTTGACTGCTGAAGTTTATTTGGATTTTTTGAAAAATCATGTACAAAATTTATTGGTGGACGTGCCACTGAGTATTTACAGGAACATGTGGTTTCAGCATGATGACTGCACAGCGCACTATGCACTCTCAGTGAGAGAGTATCTCGATCAAAACTTTCCAGGCAGATGGATAAGGCGGTCTGGTACAATACCGTGGCCAGCCCGATTTTACTGGGGAACTGTAAAAGAAAAAGTGTATTTCAAGCCGATTCAAAATGTAGCTGAGCTACGGCAAAGACTATTGGAAGCAGCTGAGTTTGTTAATAACCGTGGATTCGCTCGTTTAATAACCCGATCTTTTTTAAGAAGATGTCGAGCGTGTATTGCGGCTGAAGGAAAACAGTTTGAGCATTTGCTGTAAAGGTAAATCATCATCAGCAGCATTTTGACGCCCACTGTTGTGCAAACAGTTATCCTTAAGGGTCCTTGTGCGTTTTCATAATCGCTGTTTAATTAGGAAATTTTGAAATATTTTCATCAGTTTTTTTTCAAATAAAAATTGTGCATAAGTTAACGAGTAATCTTCTAAGTGTTATACCATTTTGGAATCGTTATTAAATGCGCCAACTTTTAAGATTACTTGCCAAACTCTCGTAGTACATTTTTTTCCGGTACAGCCAGTTAAAGTTGAGCAAAGTTTTACTTTGGAATACTTGGTTGGGAAATAAGTGGCAATTTTTCCTGAACGAGAAAAGTTGGCAGTAAGGTTGAGACACCAGTTTGAAGATGCATTTATTCATCATTAAATTGTAAAAATAAAATCCAAAAAAATTTAATATTTGTAGTAACAGGAGTTGACAGACTGCCGTAGGGTGTGAAATTTCTATATCTTTTTCAAAGACCTATAATTTTCAAAACACATACATAAAATTTTTTTAATTATTTTTCTGATAGCTGTTATGACTTTGCCTATCACCCGGTTTCGGCTTGACGTCGACTTCTGGGACACCCTGTATAAATACTGTTTGTGTATACGCTTGAAGGCTGGGCGACAACGGAACAGGAACAAAAACACTACTAACCGAGTTTCATTAAAAGTTATTCACAATACTTTGTACAAATTAAAACTACGATCGACATATTCTGAACATATTTGCCCTCTCCAGAGATAGTAGCCTTATAGCAACGGTTGTAGCTGTAAATTCGTAACAAAAAAGCCTTGCACAGTTATCGGTAAAGATTTTCCGCGATGCCAGTTCCACCATCTTTACCATCTCTGAAGAAAGCGAACAGTTACCTAGACTCCTACCCATCATCGAGCACTTTGAATGGATACAGCCTATCTCCAAGCAGTTCAAATGTTTCGATACCTTCGTCAGGATTACCAACTAGTCCAGTATCCTCAGTTGGTTTACCCCCGGCTGTACCTTACTCCCAACATGCCAGGAGGTTCACTCCAGCTAGAAAGATGCCCTACATGGCTGGGTTAGACGTGCCTAGTGACAGAAAACCTGTAATGTTCCACTCGAGACCTTTGAGGAGTCTCACCGTGGTCTCGGATTCACCAGATAGAAGTAGAAGTTGTACGCGGTCACCTAGCCCTACACCAAGTAACTATAGCATACGTTCAAATGGCAGCTTTAGGTCTGTTCGATCTAGCAGCTGTTGTCCACCACGAAGAGTGTTTCCTCAAAGCTACGAACGATCAGAATGTGATCTAAGAGCCAAAGAAGAAAGCCCAGTTGTCTTCGATGCCAACTTGACCTTCATCCTAGGCTGTAAAGGAAAACTGAGACAAAACGTAACGCCGATACCGGCTCACGAAGACGCAGCAACAGCTTCAAATGCCTTGACCAATAAGATAAACGATTTCCTGCAAAGAACAGATCACGTGATGGACGAATGGAAGCTTTTGGGTAGGAAGGAAGACGAACAGCACAGTATGAGGATGAAGAAGAGCAAGTTGTTGGGGAGGTCGAGGAGTGCCACGAATATCATGATAAAGGGGTTCCAGTATTTCAGTAGAGCGAGTAGTTGCAGTCGGTCTTCGATGACCAGGGATTTGGAGGCGAATGAAGATGCCGCTACCGTGGCTGATGTGGATGAGGTAGATGTTTTGCTTCTCTCTATACAAAGTATTTATGAGTATACTAAGTGACATATAAATCCGAACACCCAGTTTAAATGGTATTATTTTAATAAAATTTTGTATAAGTACTTAATGAAGCATAATAAGTAAATGATAAAAATTTCAAAATGATTGCACTGCTTTAAAGCCCTTTGACCTTTAATAATGTGTGGATGCACCCTGATGTGCTACGCATTCTCCAACGTGCCTAGGCATGCTTCTGATCAGGTGGTCAATGTCCTCCTGTGGTATCTCATTCTAGGCAACCACCAACTCCTCTCGAAGTGCTTCTAGAGTCTGAGGAGGACGTTGCAAATTGAGCAATCTCCTACCCATCATATCCCACACGTGCTCAATTGGGGATAAGTCGGGAGATCTTGGTGGCCATGGTTACAATGTGACATCATTATGTTGAAAGAAGTCTATTGTGACTCTTGCAACATGTGGTCGGGCATTATCGTGTTGGAAAGTTGGATCTGCCAGGGTGTCAAGATAGGGTGAAAGATGGGGTTCTAGAACTTCGTGGATATAACGCTGCGCGTTCATGTTGCCTAAGATGAAGATTAAAGATGACCTGAAACCATAAGCTATAGCACCCCAAACCATAACTCCAACAGTGTGATGAACATGTCTTTCAACAAAAAACTGTGGATTCCTCCTTTCACCACGTCGCTTTCTAACCCTGGCACGACCATCGTGCATGCCTAAACAAAATCGAGACTCGTCACTAAAGACAATACTGTTCCATTCCTGATCCCAGAGTGACCGTTGTCTGCACCACTCAAGGCGATTACGTCGGTGTTCTCGAGTTAAAGGGAGGACCCAGTGTGGTCGGTATGAAAACAAGCCAAAACTTCTCATTCGTCGGTAAACACTTCGCATGCCAATAGGTCTTCCATGTTCTGCAAACCATTCATTTGCAATGGACCTGGTAGTGGAGAAACGGTCCCTTAAGGCCAATAATCTTAGGCGGCGATCTTCACGGTCTGTTGTTCTACGGCGGCGTCCAGTGCCCCTTGCTCTTTGCGTACGGCCTTCTCGAAGCCATGCCTGACAACACCTAACCACAGTGTTCTACACTTCTTTGCACTCTAACTGCAATTGCCCGAAAAGAAAGTCCAGCTTCCCGAAGTCCCACTATACGGCCCCTATCAAACTCACTAAGTTGACGAAATCGTACAGGTCTCCGTACTCTGGGTATCGTAACCGATCGTAAAGGATGTCAAGAACCAAAATCCGCCAACGTTGATTCTTTACTGCGGCTGAAATATTCATTTTTAGAGCGTTAGTGAATTAAAAAAAAGCAGTATAAAAACCGGAATGTCCAACTGATAAGGCTGAAAATTTTTTCACTTGTTATTTACAGTACCAACTTTTATTAAAATAAAACCATTTAAACTGGGTGTTCGGATTTATATGCCACTTAGTATATATACTATGCATCTGTTGAACATACCAGTCACAGATATATCATAGATATCCCATTGAAGCAGGAATATGATGATTTATTTTCCATAATTTGAGTTGTAGATATTTACGATATATTATACTAAATCAACATACGAGTATCTCGTTAAGTTTCGATTCCATGTGTGTCTTCTGAATAAACTTGACTTATTCTTTTTCAAACTGCGAGGTTCTCAATTTTGATCCTGGCTTGTATTGATGAAATTGCAGTACACGGAAAATTGTAGTATAACGCGTGGGAGCTTAGCATAACAGAAAAATTGAAAAATCCGTCGAAAAATTCACCAAAATGTGTTTTAAACTTTTTGATCTATTATAGGCTTTCTCGAACTGGCAAAATATCTCTTATTCTCCGTTGTTGTAAATTTCAAAACTTCCAAAAAGCGTATTAGAATGTTTTTTTTTTCGTGGCAGACCTCCTCAACAGTGTTCGGATAATTCATGGATTCTGGGATCATTCTGTATTGTATGAGATCCATTCGTACGAAACTTTAAACTGTCACACTTTCTAAAGAAATACTGTTTGTCCTTGGGCACATATCCAGGGTAGAGTGAAAGCACTTTAAACTTGGCTACGTTCAGGTGAAGGTAATTTGTCTTAATTTTAACGTAACCTGAACTGATTATTTATCAGCTAGATCATTCAAATAAAGAAAAAGTTAAATAATTTGAGTGATAAGAACCTTCTATTGGGCATTTCAGTTATTTTTTGATGCATTTAAAGATGTCAAAGAAAGGTGATGACGAAACATTCTTAGCATTTTTTTTATAAATTCGTGACCCTGGTGATCTTTTTAAATCAGTTGTCAGTTGAAGGTAGTGTTCATTGCCAAAACATATAACTCATTGTGATGTGAATATATTTCCTCTATGTTTGTACACGACATTATAGATTTACAACTTTGAAACAACTTGTTTGGTTCACTCAAACAATTCATACATCGGAGCCCGTAATCCAGGTCGTAAAACATTACTTTTGGCGTTTTTCCACCTAGTTATAATGAATTTTCATAATTTCATTGATGCTTTGTGATGTAAATGACACAAAACCACATCTGTATCTACCAACTCACCGAATTCTTGTGAGAAACGAGCTTATGGTAAGTAATAATAGTGTAAAATAAATAGTAGGCGTTCAGTACATCTTTGAATGTTTAGAAAAAGAGTGAAAATAGTTTACATTCCAATGACGTATTTCACAGCTGACGCAGAATTATAGCTTTTCGAAAAAATTTGAGATTCTGAATCATATCTGACTGTGCTGCAATGAGCTACGCTGGGTATTATTAGAAACTGTGCCTTTATTTCGATCACAATAGACATGTATGTGGTGCTAAAAATAAACGGGATTGTTTAGTAGTATTACGAGAAGTGCTAAAAAAGAGTTCTATCCAGCCATTTCTCCTATAGTGAACGTAACCCGTAAATGTTTCTTCTTGACTCTCAAGGCCATCATCTGAGTCAAAGCGGCTTCCTAGCAGATTTTTCTTTGGTAATATAAAGAAGTAAATGTCAGTGGAAACCAAGTCTGGACTACAGGGAGGATGGTCTATCTCCAATGATGGAAGTCTCGTCACCCGTTCAATTTGTACCAAAATCTTGTGCAAATGACCTTCTGAAAATTCCATCCTGCGCAATTTTTGTTCAGATATCAACAGTTGTGGAACCGACCTAACTAACACTATATGTTCAAATTGTCCTGCAAAATGGTTATTGCGCTGGGTTCTGGGCTCTTGAACTTGTGGGATCTTCTTATATGGATTCTTATTGAGTCATTGCAATTGTTCAGGTTTTTGAATCGTTTTCTATGGATTCAAGCGTCCATCGAAACTGTTCCAAACAAAATTTTATTGTGTAATATGATGGTGCATCATCCCCATTCTCTTAAGAATTATACTAAGTGACATATAAATCCGAACACCCAGTTTAAATGGTTTTATTTTAATAAAATTTTGTATAAGTACTTAATGAAGCATAATAAGTAAATGATAAAAATTTCAAAATGATTGCACTGCTTTAAAGCCCTTTGACCTTTAATAATGTGTGGATGCACCCTGATGTGCTACGCATTCTCCAACGCGCCTAGGCATGCTTCTGATCAGGTGGTCAATGTCCTCCTGTGGTATCTCATTCCAGGCAACCACCAACTCCTCTCGAAGTGCTCCTTGAGTCTGAGGAGGACGTTGCAAATTGAGCAATCTCCTACCCATCATATCCCACACGTGCTCAATTGGGGATAAGTGGGGAGATCTTGGTGGCCATGGTAACAATGTGACATCATTATGTTGAAAGAAGTCTATTGTGACTCTTGCAACATGTGGTCGGGCATTATCTTGTTGGAAAGTTGGATCTGCCAGGGTGTCAAGATAGGGTAAAAGATGGAGTTCTAGAACTTCGTGGATATAACGCTGCGCGTTCATGTTACCTCTGATTAAGATTAAAGGTGACCTGGAACCATAAGCTATAGCACCACAAACCATAACTCCAACAGTGTGATGAACATTTCTTTCAACAAAAAACTTTTGATTCCTCCTTTCACCACGTCGCCTTCTAACCCTGGCACGACCATCGTGCATGCCTAAATAAAATCGAGACTCGTCACTAAAGACAATACTGTTCCATTCCTGATCCCAGAGTGACCGTTGTCTGCACCACTCAAGGCGATTACGTCGGTGTTCTCGAGTTAAAGGGAGGACCCAGTGTGGCCGGTATGAAAACAAGCGAAAACTTCTCATTCGTCGGTAAACACTTCGCATGCCAATAGGTCTTCCGTGTTCTGCAAACCATTCATTTGCAATGGACCTGGTAGTAAAGAAACGGTCCCTTAAAGCCAATAATCTTAGGCGGCGATCTTCACGGTCTGTTGTTCTACGGCGGCGTCCAGTGCCCCTTGCTCTTTGCGTACGTCCTTCTCGAAGCCATGCCTGACAACATCTAACCACAGTGTCTACACTTCTTTGCACTCTAACTGCAATTGCCCAAAAAGAAAGTCCAGCTTCCCGAAGTCCCACTATACGGCCCCTAACAAACTCACTAAGTTGACGAATCGTACAGGTCTCCGTACTCTAGGCATCGTAACCGATCGTAAAGGATGTCAAGAACCAAAATCCGCCAACGTTGATTCTTTTCTGCGGCTGAAATATTCATTTTAGAGCGTTAGTGAATTAAAAAAAAGCAGTATACAAACCGGAATGTCCAACTGATAAGGCTGAACATTTTTTCACTTGTTATTTACAGTAAGATAAATACATTCACCAACTTTTATTAAAATAAAACCATTTAAACTGGGTATTCGGATTTATATGTCACTTAGTATATTTTCGGCTGATGACTCTCTTTTATCAAACATTTTATGGCACTGCGATACTAATTTTAAGTTACTAATTTCTACTCACAATTCACTTAATGGATTGGAAACTAGTTATCAAAATTCAAACACTGGTTTAAAAAAGGTAAGCCCAAAATACTTTTTAGGGTCTTGAGCTCTGATTTGGATATTTGGCATCCTCAAAAATACTGGTTTTTAACTGAGTCTTTAAGTATTGAAAATGGCCACTTATAGTTTTTGACACATCATACTCGAATATGGTCAACTATAGATATGACAGTTACTAAAGACCTTTTTTGTTCAGAATTACTCGTAAAACCAAAAAAACTTTGCCCAAAATACAACTTTTTGTAATTTGCTTAAAAATGTTTATGAATGAATGAATCTGTTGAATCCATATTTTTTCTTTTGTTTCAGCTAAGCGAGATGACAGCCGACCTGGCTGAAGAACATTCGACCGCCACCTTAGCAGCTGAACGTCTCGATGCTGAAACATCGGAAAGACTGAAGCTCGAAAAAGAACTCACAGATGTCCAGAGTAAGAACAGGGAGCTACAGCACGCTTCAGAAAAGCTTGAGATGGAGTTACTATATGCCAGATCAGACCTAAATGGTGAGTATTTTAAAAATGATCTTTATTATTCAGGGTCTTCAAAATTTCCCGATCCCTTCCTATCTCAGAAAATTAACAAGGTAAATGTTATTTCTGCAATCTACTGGTGACCCCGACAAGGACCTTTAAGGTAATTTCAAGATTAAATTAATTTCTTTTTATTTTATTTCATTATTATTTATTTTATTATATTAATTGAAATTAATTAAAAGTGGAAGCGTATACTTTCAAGCCCGAAAATCGAAAGAGGGATAGATTCAAAGTTTTTATATGTCATTGACCATGACCTTGATCTTAACTTTGGAGGTCATATGAAGGTCAACGCGATTTTTTTAATGGGACCCTACTTTTGACCCAGGAAATCGAAAAAGGGAAAAGTTTGGGTATGAATTTGACCTTAGCCTTGGCGGTGGTTTTAAGTTCAAAGCGATTTTCTTAAATAGGTCCTCAGAATTTTTACCCCGTAAATCGAAACAGGGGAACATTCTAAGTTTTGATATGATCTTGCCTTGACGGAGATTCAAGGTTATAGTGATTTCCACAAATGGGAAAACCAAAGAGGACAAAATTTCGACTCTGGCTGTCATTGACCATCGTTTTGGTATTGATCATGAAAGTTAATCAAAAGTCAACCGTATTTTCTTCAATAGGAGCCCATACTTCCGACCTCAGACATCAAAAGAAGTGAAAATTGGTCTACATATCCAAAAGTTTAGGGCGCGATTGAAGGAAATCGAGTTGACTTTGAAATTACCTACGGTCCTTGGATCTCCGGGTTTAAAAGTATAAGGGTCCAAAAAATCAATTTGACCTCAAAATAACCACCAAGGTCAAGATCAGAGTCATGGTCTAAGACATATCCAAACTTGAAATTTTCCTTCTTTCAATTTTAAAAGTATAGGATCACATTTAATAAAATCAATTTGACCTTAAAATTACCGTCAAACTGCAAGCTCATGGTCAAGGACATATCTAAACTTGGAGCTTTTCCCTCTTCCAGTTTCCGGGGTCAAACGTATAGGGTCCCATTTAAGAAAATCAATTTGATCATCAAATGATCCCAAGGTCTAAATCAAGGTCATTAGATTGCTTAAGTAAAATCCTACAATCCTTGCCAACGTATGAGTCTTCCCCATTTATGCTTGTCACTGTCAGTATGACAACTTGCTTGTCATGAATGTCTCTAGATACAACTACAATGTTGACAGTCTGTATCAGAAGTATTTCCAGATAGTAAATGGAAACAGCAGTCCTCTATCACCCAGTTCAATGTGCGGGTGCAAGAGCACATGGTACCATCAGCCAACGTATTTACTTACTTCGTATGGAATTGTGACGTAAAAGCCAAAAACCATCAAGAAAACTATAAGTATTTATGAAAGCTAAAGGTACGCGTCCACAGACTAGTTCGTCCATCATCTGCATAGCTAAAAGAATATAAATGAACCCACGCGGTCGGTGCCATTGACTGACAAGTGTGGATCACCCTGTACACCAAGCGTTCGTGTACAGAATGCTTGAAAAAACTTGTTTTTTGGTTTTCGTTTTCTCAGTGTTGTGTATTTAATCTCAGAAGATACACATGCTTCTATCATGGATTTTTACAAAACTGTTGAGAAAATAACAAAAGGTACATACGGGTAAGTACAAAAATGTTTTCTATAGTTTTCACATTTGTTCTGTAGCAGCTCACAAAGAAGACCCTTTCTGTATCTATACTTCCTGGGTCCTGATAGTCATCATCAATACAAAAAAGAGCTGCATACTGAATAAGTACAATACATTTATGAATTACATTTTTTCACTAAGTGCATTGAAGGATGTTTTAAATCGAAGCGATTTTCTTGGAATCCATCTCTGTAGAACATTTCTTTAATGTACATTTGAAACGCACCTTTGAATTTTGGAGCTATAAGCCATTTATTTGTTCATTTTATATGCATTTAAAATATTTTAGAACACACATATATATATTTCCAGTTCATATTAAACAACTGTAATACCTTTACCCAAATCTGTTTCCTTTTACTTTTTGTTTTTTATATTTGTAATACCTACATTTTTTCGAACTTCATGTATATTTCAGAACAGTGTATTTGGGCAAAAGGCTACACAGTGAGCAAAAACTGGTTATAAAACAAATAGTCGTGTTCAAAGGCAAAGAACTGCTGAATGCTCAAAATGAGGTGAACATTTTGAAATCTCTGAACCATCCTAATATCATAAAATATCTTGACGTATATGCGAAAGATGACCATTTCTTTTTGGTGATGGAATATGCTAGCAAAGGAACTTTACAAGAAAAGATAAGCCTTGAGAGACCCAACTATTTTACAGCACAGGTATTTTTGAAAAAAATTGAAATACTGTGTTCTGAAATTATTTTATTTTTTATTTATTCACTCCTGGATGCCAATTTTTTAAAAAATGTGTGTAGAATAACTAATAGAAGGTGGGCGCTATTCTATTACTTTTCAAAGAGCTCTTGATAAGTAGTATTGGGACAGGAGTGCGGAAGTCTTGCCCTCATCCATCCAGCTTCATCTCTAAAGTTGTGATAAAACATTTAGTGATATGAAATAACTAGGAACGTTTATTATTTTGTCGAACCTTCACTAAACGGCAGAAAATGCCTCCCAAATCAAGATCACTTGAAATTAGTTATTCATCTCCTTCATTTTCATGAGCTGGTGTCCTAGACCACGAAATAGCATTTCAGTTTTTTTTATTTCAGTATGTTATGAACACGTTAAGCCAGATTTTGATGGGATTGAATCACATACACAAGAAAAGGATCATCCATAGAGACCTAAAATGTGAAAATATTTTTTTGACCGGAACTGACGGAGACGTAGTAAAAATTGGCGACTTCGGTATTTCAAAACAAATGTTGCAGTAAGGATTTTTATATCATTCGGTGAAATAGCACGGTGAAATTAGAAATCGGTGGCTTGAGAAGGAGAGAAAAAGTAGATTGTTTTCAAAAACACGAAGTGATGAATTTTTTCAAATAAAATTTTCCCTAAAACGTCTTTGAGGATTTTAGTGGCGGATCATAAAAATGAATTTGAAATGAGACTATCGAATACTTTCGTTCGCTTTGGTTTCATGTTACTTTATTTTTTTAGCGACGATAAAGCACTGACGTCTATTGGGACATACAATTATGTAGCTCCTGAACTGGTCGATGGAAAGCCATACGATTACAAGACTGACATTTGGGCATTGGGGTGCATTTTATACGAATTATGTTCAATGGAAAAAATGTTCGGCGGAACTGTAAGTAATGACGTACTGAAAATTGTCTCAAAAAATATTTTGAAATACTGCCTGCTAAAAATAATCTAATATCACTGCACATACACACACACTCTCCTACCTTGTGCGGTCCCTCCACCACCCCTGTTCCAGGCAACCTCAAACCTTGAGAAGTTCTTCTTCCCGCCCCCTAGCTTGGAGTGAAGCTGCGTGGCTCAGGTACTGCACATTTTTTCTCGAGTGTGTGCTGCCGAGCGAACTACCCCCTCCCTAATTTTGCCTCTTTTTCTTAAAATTGCTCGAGCGCGCACGCGGAAGCGCGTCGTGGACATTTCTTCCAACTGTCGATTCTCAACTTTTATGGACGGCCTCTTTCTTGGGGGTCCTCGCTTGGGGCTTCGACCTAAGCCCCGCATAAAGGTTGTGGAACCTTTGCTCTTTCCACGTCGACTGGAGTCTGTCAGTCGTCAGTCAGTCAGTTCGCAGTTTGTCTTCGTCTTCTGAGGTTAGCCTCGAGTCCACCTCAATCGACAGGTTTCTTTTTGTCCACCCCTTGGACACGGGCTGTTCTTTCCCCTCTTGAGCGTACAACTATTGTCGGTCTTCTCCCCTTTTCTTTGGCCTCATCAGCTGCTAGGGCCAATTGTCTTCTTGTTGTAGCTAGCTTTTTGGTCTTTTATGTCGCCTTGGGTCGTAATCCAAGGCGTCTTTAATCAGCTGGTTTCGATGTCTATCGTTCTTTTCGAAGAACTTATGGACCCTCTCTCTCTCTCTCATCTGGATTACGAACGGTACCTGTCGAAGTTCGTCATATAGCACTGTGTTAGGTGTGTACCACGGTGCGTCTACCGCCTCTCAGAGTTCTATATTTTGTTGAGCTTGGAGCGTCTTCCACTTATGTCATGACTTGGAGCAGCTCCATCTTAATCATGATGGTCTTATTGTTTAGGGATAATTTACTTCTTCTACTTATTAAAGGTCTTAAACTTTAGCATGCCATCTTCACTTTCTGCACCTGGCCCTCGATGTGTTTCTTCCATGTGAGCTTTTGGTCCATCTTGACTCCAAGGTACGTGCTGGAATCCTTCCATTCGACCTCAACCTCTTCGTCTCTTATCCAGTCTCTCTCCACTCTGGTGGTCATCATCTTGATATTGGTTTCAGGTAATCTTCGATTTCTTTGTTTCAGTACCGCTTCGGTCTTCTCAGGGTGGAGTCAGATCTTCCACTTGAACTGTAGATTGCATACAGCCCTGCGGTACTCCTGCCTCCGCAATCTTCTCCGTCGAAGTTGTTTTATCTATCCTAATCAAGAATTTTTGTTGCTTCAGATAGGACTTCACCAGTTGAATCATGCCTGTTTAGTATCCGAGGTCACCACCTTGTAGATAAGTCCGTCGAGTCAGACTTAGCTGCATCTATGAACATCGCTCTTACTGTTCGCCAAGTCTGGAACGATTTCGTTTCCATTTCGACCAGCCTCAGGACCTGGTGCTCTGCTGAATGTTCTCTTCGGAATCCCAACTGCTCATCTAGTACTACTTGGATTTCTTCAGTTTCGTTCCTCAGTCGTCGTTCGATTACCCTCTCCACAATCTTGCTCAATGCCGCCAATGTTCTTATGGGTCTATAGTTATGGTAGGAATCTCGCTGTCTCAGGATAGCATTGACGATGTTGCTGATTGCCACTATGGCTTTCCTTTGCAGCGTCTTCAAGACCCTGTTCCCGATTCCATCATCTA